ATAGCACTGGATTTCAATACCAAGTTGAACAAACCACTAAATCCAGCTACAAGTCAAGCTACAAGTCATACAGAACTTTGAGATAGAAACAAGTGACAATGATGCTGTGTTTTCCCAGAGAAGGATGAACTACAGAAATCCAAAGAACTGTCACCAATTTATTATTTCGTCCAATAACAAACCTGAGCTAAACACATGAAAAGTAGAAATGGCACTTCCTTTGTACTGATTCCTAGGAAATCCTAATATGCAAATCCTAACCAAATACACCAAAGACCTCAATGTATATATAGGGGTATCCTGACCAGTTTTGCCAGATGAGAATGACCTAATGAGAAGACACTTTGAAGATATATGGACTCAGAGAGATGAAAATCAGGCATCACCTTATATATGGTGTTTTCTGAATAAGTGTGTATCAAACCCTGGCAACACAAGGGTAAGTCTCACGAAAGAACAAACTCTTTACCAGGAAAAGGAACCTTTAAGAATCTTTCAGCGATGACAGAAAACAAAACCGACTAGTGGTATCAATTAGGTAGGGATGACAAATGATGGATTGTCCAACTCTAGTAGAAACCATCCCCAATGACTGGAATCTGACAGCTTTCTAGACATTGTAAGGAAAGCTTTCTATAGCAGAAGCCAATGACATCCTCAAAACAACTGATAGGATACTGAATTTGCCGAGTTTTTAGCGTTTTTCAAGTGATCTGAAATTAGTTCTATGGAAAACCAGGCAATCTGCCCATCAATACTGCTTTACCACCACTAGATCAGAGAACACGATTGTTTCCCAGCAGTGATTAGTAGAAGAGTGTCTATGAATAACTGCAGGCATGACTGAGTGACAGCCTATTCATAGGTCTGGAAGAAGAAATGAGGATACTTCCAATTCTCTGTTGTGAAGAGATCCATGGATAAATAGCCCTACTTGAAGAGGAAATGTATTGTTTTCTCTTTCAGTAATTCATTGTCCTGAAACTAAAAATTAGAGTCTTAGCATTTTCTTTGCCCATCTGATACGGATATGGACTTTTCTTGATAAGCCACACACTAAACCCAGGAAAACATTGCCTCCTGGCAGTTATTATGAACAAGCACTTTATTACTTATTGATGCAATACACAGACATCTGTTAATAATACAGACATTGATCAACAGCAGAAGCTGTCCAAGCCAACTTATTTGCTCTGTTCCAGAACATCTACATGATGTTTGGTCCTCTCATAGAATCTCCCAACTGTGAACCAGCCATCCCTAAGAGACTCCCAAACTTCAAATCATGCACATCCAGCAGTGACAACAAATGAAAGCAGAGGACTGAAATTAACCTTTCAACATGTTAGGAAAGCTTTGCCACAAAGGAATCATTGGAGAATTCTTAAGCAATCAGTCCTATTCTTCACATTTATGTTAACTTTTATGATCAATTTTTAGTAAAATAAAGGGGAAAACAGACCACTCTGAAGTCATGGTGTGTCTATGACTTCTTGCAGACAAAGGAACAAAGTAAATTTGAAATAGGAAGAGCCTTATGTTAACAAGATGTCCAGCAGAACAAAAGGAAAATTTTCAGGAGGTCCATGCTGTATCAGGCTTAAGTGTTTCTAGCATTAGCATTTCTCTTCCAGAAAAATTTTGCCCAGAACTCATTACTGTTCACCATTTTGTGCATTAATAAATTGACTACTGCAGAAATTAATTACTGCATTATTGTATTGTTGAAGGTGGCTCTTATGAGCTTTGAATGGAAAGATATCTGGTTTGTAGTTTGGATATGGGACTCCTGTCACTTAACATTAAAGAGATCAACCTGTGCTGTTGCAATTACTATAACTGCTTAAATAGATCAATTCTTCCTTTTTATTGTTGTATTTACATTTATAAAACCAAAAATTTACATGAAAACCAAGATAAACTTCATGTGCAACATGCTGCAAAAATAGGTTTAAAAAGCTGCTCTCAATGGCTTGTTCTGTTAAGAGATAAGAGATTCAAATTTCAAAACATTTATTTACTGTGCACTATTCCTTTGACATAGCAATTAGGCAGGGGCAGCTGAAGTATGTTTTAGAGCTTTCACTGAATTAGGTCTAACACAGTATTTTCTTAGTCATACAGTATTTGAAAGCTTTCTCTTTCCAGAAGTTACAAATACGATTGGCCAAGGCAGAATGTTTAACATTTTAGATTAAATCCACACTATTTGAGTATTTTCTGAAACAGACATCTTGTGGCTTCAATAAATGTTTTCTTTAACTTCATTTAGTATCTAGGTGAAATATCCTTGGCCACATGGCATATTTCAATGCTATAAAATATCCTGCTAACTTACATGAAAGTAACTATCATTTTTGCACATAATCAATGAAAATGGATAGGACAGAACTTAAATATGTACAGATATCCTATACTAAAGTACATCAGAAATTCACTGACAAGCACTGCTATACAGATTTCTTTCTGTACAGTACAGAAAGAATTACACCTTCATAAGAATATTTTAATTGCATTTTTCCTGC